GTGGAATGATTGCTTCACAAACACTGATGATGTCACTTTGACTGGTGATGAAACTGAACATGGTGATGAAACATTTGCAAAGAAATCGCCAAGCTCGGCGAACAGGCGAAATGGAATTCAGTTCACCGGAGCTACGAGAACCAATTTTCAATACTTTATCAACGGTATGCAGTGACTGGTCAGAAAAGAAACGGCACATTGTAACATCGGTAGCGAAAGGGGTGAGCCAAACAAACTGTTGTGTGATCAACAGAAGATGGGGTGAACTCACAATTAAACGAAAAAAGTGCAGTTTTCACAAACAGACACTCAAGCTCGAGAACGGGATGTGGCGAACCACATGTCAGGAGAAGTGTAGAGATAAGCCGGATAGCCGCATGACCCTTGGGTAATCGTAACATGATTCGAACTACGAACTTTAGAGATCGATGAAATAGACCATCACATAAATCCAGTAGTGTCAAGTTAATTAGGTTTGATGAACCACCGAAAAAGCTGAACAAAGAAACCAATATTGGTCAACAGATATTCCGAGAGCTCTCCAAACGAACTTACCGACTATTTTCAGGATGCAGACAGCTGAGAATATCCTTCACTAGATCCGATTCGAAAAATTCCAAAATATACGGGCCCGTGAGTACATCTTCCAATCTGTAGCGCTAAGAAGCAAAAAAACCATCAAGAGAGATGACGTTGGACGGAGTCAAATGGTATTCGTCGCATGTATCAGTCTATTTATATAATTGGACAATTGTCAGATTTAGTGTGTGATTCGAACTCATGAAGATTGTCTTTGGTCTGCCATCACGCATCTATCTATGAACCTACACGAAACGAGATTCATATTGCATTTGGCGCCACAACTAACACGCTAAACCAGTATGGAACAACAAACTTTTTTACGACACAATGAACTGATCAAAAATGGCGAGGCAATAAAGGCTAAAAAATATACCGCTGCAAAATTTTTTCATGGGTGACATCTAACGAAATTTCAAAGAAAGCGTTAATGTTTACACAACGAGGTTTTTATGCCTAAAATTATTACAAATCAACTTGCTGGGAAAAACTATTATTCATATTTTCCAGTTATCTTTTTCATAACATTAAAACCGCAACCTTTTCGCGTGATAAGATGCTACAACCAGTGGCAGTGATTATATAGGTAGATCAAAAAATCATTTATGGCGGTCAACATAATGATAACGAAGCTGATGAGTCGATCGCGGAAATCATCTTCGTAATTAAATCAAACAATTAGATAAACTTCCCAATAGTATTGTCACTTTTAGGATCTTCAGATATATTCACGTGGGATAGTACGGTGCTCAGTCCCTTTCCACTTCCTAACTTACCCCATAGCGTACTACCGAAGAGTGGTCACAACCTCCAGGAAAGCACATGACGCCGTGTTCTTCCTAGTTCCAACTTCTTCAAGATGACGAATGTGTTATCAGCGTATTGGAGCCAAAGTTTCGGCGTGATTCTTGGTAGTAAGTCCTTTTCCAGCTTCTAATTCCGCTATGAATTCAGAAATCAGTGATTTCATTGGTGTCTTTTTCAGCCATTCGTAGATTTCGCCTTCGAACTTGAAGTACGTTTCCATGCGTAGTTCCATCAGTTGGAAGATAGCAGCTGATTTGATGAGACAGACTTGATTTTTACGTATCAAATACTGTAGAACCCAAACCATCCATGTCGGCCGCTGTCCACATTGTCAAACAATATATACCTTAGGGGACATCGTTTCAAGCTGCTGATTCCAAAGTGTCGACTGGAATGCCGGCACCAATCTTTTGCAGTCAACGTATCCAGTACTCAGAACACCTTTCCATCTCAAGCCGTTTGTGCCTCAACTATTGAATGTTTCCAGCGGAGACTCGATGAGATTCTGGTACACCTTTTTTATTACACACTTGGGTGTGATGAACAGCAGACAGAGCGAACCCCATTGTCACGAGGACCTGCTGTTCAGTGATGGAAACCGGTAACCCAAGCCCCGGGACTTGGAGTGGCGAACCACATAAGGCCCCAATAGGTTAGGAGTGGTATTGAACCGGACGACAGCAGAGCTGCCTACCACCAAAGTCGGGTGGTGGTGGTGGGGCTCGAACCTCGGACCATAGGGTGGAAAGCACGCCGGTGAAAGTGACTAAACCACTGCGTCACCACCACCTCACATTGCCACTTGTCACTGAAAAAACTACAACACATCGGACATCGTGAATTGGCTTTTTGCGCTCTCTCTCTCTCTCGATGTAATACCACAAAAAGCAGTGGGTAGGATTTGATCAGCAAATGTTTCAAGAGAGTATTTCTTAAGACGAGAATGAAACCTAAGCCAATCTCGGAAAAATTGGGACTTTTATTCAATATGGAAGAAGTATAATGTAAGGTAATAATCCAACAGAACTCACCAGAAGGTTTGAGCCAAGATCCAAAACATAATCGTAGGGTGGCTCTTTATCTTTGAACCTAAAGTGTAGACTATTCAAAGCCTAGAACAGAACCACAGAAAGAGAAAAGAGCCGAAATGCAATCACTGTATATAGTTGTGCTGTTGAGCTACACATCCAAGTATATATCAAAGTTAAATGAAACAAAGGATGTGACAGAAATTCAAACACGAATGCCACCGGATTATTTAAAATTACGGTACAACCTCCCCTGTGTACCAAAAATTAATTTGTGCAGACGCTTAATATCCTATGTGCCTTCTCAATTCTGTTTTTTTTCTTCCGAAAGACACTTTTATACCAGACAATTGACGTATGGTATGTGTTACGAATCACTGAAAGCGAACTTGGTCACCATTCTGAATTTTGTCTGGGATGTTCTCTGCCGAACTGCACGGGGAATTTCAATAAGGTAAAACTGAATACAGGCAGTTATTGGTGAAACGGGCTGCAGTTTGAGGAATGGAGACTATCAATTATTTCGCTAAGGAATACTGATGACAATAAGATAAACCTACTTACTACACAGCCAAGAAAAACAATACAGATCTTTGGAAGGCACGTAACAAGTGGTGCAACAAATTAGCGGTCGTGCCAGCAATGTGAATCAACGGACTATTCACATTACTCACTATCTAAATACATATTCAAATTTATACTTTGCTGTCATGGGTTTGAGGATTTCGAAAGAAATCTCTTTGTAATCATGAAAGCTTACATCCACTTACTTGATTTTCCCGGAATATCCAATCAGCTGGTTCCTCCGATCGCATCAAGTTAATGTATTGATACACTTTGATAACTATATCCGTCACGTGACCTGAAAATGGGCATATACCAAGAGTTGTACAGAGATCGGGTCCATGGTTGAGAACAAATCAACAATTAGCAGCAACAACGTGAACCAGTGTGATGAAATGGTTAGAAACGATATGATACAGTGCGCAATTAAAATCGATTATTCAAAAAGGAAAATGATGTCTATGTGATGAATTCGTTGTATAAATGAGACGTGAGCTGAAAATCTGGGAATATGTTTCTACCTGAAAGTTAGTGCTGTGATGGGCAAGGGCCGATACGCAAAACAAGCTCGGAAAGATGGTCGTGTATATCCAAAATCAGAAGCGATCTGATCACCTGCCCGGTAGCCGAGTAGTTAATGTGCCTGCGTTCTACCTGTGAGGTACCGGATTCGATTCCCAATTGGGTCGATGGATTTGCATTGCTGACGAGACCCAACCAAGTCAAAACAGCTGTGCAGTGCCTCCCAGCTTTTCAGCTCACACCTAATTTACACGAAGAATTCATCAGATAAACAAATCAAATCTTTATTACTCTCATAAAATTATGCCTTATAT